ATAGTGAAATATTTTTATGCTTATACCCTCAACTTGTGCATGTAAAATATTTTGTATAATTATGTGTGAACAGGGCTGGTACTTGATACCTAAAAATTTTCCTGTATGTATGTTTAATTATTTTTTCAGCTTAATGTGGGAGTTGTTTCATATTAGTGCTGTTAGGCTTGTAGTCCCCTGGGATATGAGGTGTTGTCAGTCACTGGCTGGCATTGGAAGAGTGGTGGATACTTTCTCAAATAGGGTTTAGTTGAGTATTATATATTCAGTGCTGCTCTATTATTAATTATTGTGTGCAAAGTGCAATCAATAGAGGTGTTGTAAAGCAGTTTATGGTTTATTTACTGTGCACATCTTAGTTATTTATTAAGGATTATGTTTATTCTTTATTCTCTTGATTTAATTTATCCATTCATTATGTAACCTGCACACTTATTATGGTAAACTTTTATTATCAAATTTTATTTAACCTTTCCTGACATCTATAATTCCAAACCTTCACTCCTGAACTGTTGTGATAAAGTAAGAGGGCTGTGACTGAATCCATGCCGCACAATTTTTTTCCTTAATGTGTTTGTAACTTTTGCATTTCACATTGTTTGTAGTGTATTGAAGTAACATTAATTTTAAGTGATAAATATTAAAGATTAAGTTGTGCTGAGTTGCCAATTTGTTTTTGTTTTTTCTATATGTGACCCCATTATTATATTCATCTTTAACATAACTGAAGTTGCTTAAGTTAAGGAATAACAACAGCGTACCCCATGAAAGGCTGAAAATCAAACTGGAAGGGTAAAGGATTCGGAGAAGTGACTTAGCATGGATCGGAGACTTTTTGCATGACCGCAAACAGTGTGTGGTGATAAATGGCACGAAATCGTCATGTGTACGTGTGACAAGCGGGGTACCACGGGGCAGTGTATTGGGCCCGTTGTTGTTTGTCTCCTTTATTAATGATACGCGAGAAGCTATACACTCCTCCATACAAATGTTTATGGATGATGCCAAGTTATTTGGGGAATTTAAGAATCAAACAGACTGTGATGAGCTGCAGAAAGATCTCTGTGAGCTTCAAGAATGGTTCAAGAAATGGCTGCGAAGATTCAATGTCACGAAGTGTAAGAGGATGCACCTGGGTCGCACCAACAGTAGGGAGGCGTGTCACATGTCCCAACAGGACGAGGAGACTGCATTAATTGAGACCGAATGTGAAAAAGACCTGGGTGTGTATGTCAACAAAGATCTTAAGTTCTGGGGCCATTGTAAGAGAAACGTGAATCAGGTAACGAAACTACAGTCTCTCCTCGACTTACGACAACCCGGACATACGACTGCCATGGTCGAATAAAATATTTTCCACAGTACGTATTTTCAAGTCCTGAAACGTTTGGTCGTAATGTGACCCCGTACGACAGCGTGGGCTGGGCCGCCTCGTGGTGTACAGCATCCACACCGTAGCCCGCTCAGTTGGTGTTTGGTCGTCTTTGTTGTTGTTAGTGATCACGCTGTGTACTGACAAAATTTTCGTTTGTAATTCCCTTTAAAATGACTGGCAAGCGTAAAAGTGAGAGTTCTCGTGGTGCTGAGAAGAAAAAGAGACAGTCAATTACTTTTGAGATGAAAATTAAAATAATAATGCAATATGAAAATGGAAAAACGGTAGCAACCATTTCACGCGACCTTGGCTTCTCTCACTCGACTATATCAACAATTGTGAAGGACAAGGAACGAATTTGTGAGGTAGTGAAAGGATCAGCACCTATAAAGGGAACAATAATAATGAAAAAAAGACAAGGTCCTATTCATGAGATGGAAAAATTACTTGTGATGTGGATGGAAGATCAGCTACAAAAGCGTGTACCCTTAAGCCTTCTAACCATTCAGGCTAAGGCAATAAGCCTTTTCGAAAGCCTGAAAGAGCAGGCAGGAGATGAGTGCGACCAAAACTTCACAGCAAGTCATGGGAGGTTCCAAAGGTTTAAGAACGTTACAGTTTGCATAGTGTAAAGGTGAGTGGAGAGGCAGCAAGTGCTGACGTGGGTGCTGCTGAAGCTTTTAAGGAGGACCTAGATCGTGTCATCGTGGAGGGAAATTATTTGCCTGAGCAAATATTTAATGTGGCTGGGGCGTACCAACGGTAAGGAGGCATATCATATGTCCCAACGGGATGAAGAAACTGCACTAGTTGAGACTGTGTGTGAGAAGGACCTAGGTGTGTATCTTGACAATGAGATGAAGTTCTCGGGCCATTGTGAGAAGAAGGTAAATCAGGCAAATAAATTATTGGGTCTTATAAGAAGGTCGTTCAGATATCTAGACGGTCCGTCCCTCATAAGGATCTTCAGGAGTGAAGTGCTCCCCCATCTGGAGTACTGTCACCCCATCTGGTCCCCGAGATATGCTAGGGACTGCCAGTTGGTTGAAAATGTTCAAAGGAGGGCCATCAGACTGGTGCCTGCACTTCGGCACCTCAGCTACCCTGAGAGATTGGAGCGCCTGAACTTGCCTAGCTTATACTACAGACGGGCAAGGGGGGGACCTAGTTGAGGTGTATAAGCATCTCAGGGGGCACTACTCAGTTGAGTCCTTACTTGGAGCTGGCGGACGCTCGCCCCACAAGGGGTCACAGCTCAAGATTGAAGAAGCCGCAAGTCCAGAAAACCGCGAGGGGAAACTTTTTCGGAGTGAGTGTTGTAAATTCTTGGAACAATCTACCAGAGAGTGTTATGACGGCACCGAGTGTGAGCTCTTTCAAGACAAGACTTGACCAACACTGGAGCGGGTTCAGGTACATTCAGGAGCCGGTGCATGCCCAGTATTTGCCAACAGTGCGTGACAGAGACATGACCGATCGCCCGGGCGGCTAGCGAGCCGATCAGTGGCGAAGAGGATAAAAAAAAAAAATATATGAAACTGGCTTATTTTGGAAGCGCATGCCAGAATGGACATACATCCACAAAGAGGCGAAAACCATGCCGGGATTCAAGGCATTCAAGGACCGAATCACACTTCTGTTGGGGGGAATGTAGCTGGTTTCAAGGTAAAACCCTTCATGATATATCATTCAGAGAACCCAAGGGCTTTTAAAAATGTCAGCAAGCACACACTGCCAGTATTTTATCGCAGTAATAAGAAAGCATGGATGACCCTAGCACTGTTTGAGGATTAGTTCCTGAGTTGTTTCATTCCACGAGCCAAGGAGTATTGTCTGCAACAAGGGGTTACGTTCAAGATTTTATTAATTTTAGATAATGCTCCGGGGCACCCACCACACCTGGACGACATGCACCCTGATGTTAAGGTAGTGTATCTTCCACCTAACACTACCTCTATCATCCAACCCATGGATCAAGGTGCTATTGCTGCTTTTAAAGCTAATTATTTACATACGACCTTCGCTCAGGCTATTGCTGCTAAAGGTGAGAAAACTCTTAGAGTTTTGGAAGGACTACAACATTTTGCAATGTATAAAGAACATAGCTGCAGCATGGGATGAGGTTACAGGTCAGTGCATGAATGGAATATGGAAGAAGGTCCTGAAAAGATATGTGAACAGCTTCAAAGGATTTAATGAAGATGAAGCAATTTCTGAGATTAGTAACAAGATAGTGCAGATGAGTATACAGCTTGAGTTAGAAATTTATAATGAAGATGTTGAGCAGTTGGTGGAAAGTGCAGCAGAAGAGTTAAGTAACGAGGATCTTATTGAACTGGATGCACAGTAAATTGCAGAGGAAGAAGAGAGACAAGATGTAGAAGAAGAACCTGCACCCCCCAAAAGTTTTCAGTGAAACAAATGGCAGAGGCATGTGCTACTATTAATAAGGGGATGCAAATGTTTGAAGAAATGGATCAAAATGTTGAGCGTTTTGCAAAAGTTGACAGACCGATCCAAGATGCACTTGCTTGCTACAAGGAGATTTACAATGAAAAGAAAAGGCAAACTGTGCAGTCTAAATTGGACATATTTTTCAAGAAGTCCCCCACTGCTGTCTCCTCACGCCCCACCACTGCTGCCTCTTCACTCCCTAAAGATGATCCAATACTTCAACAAGCAAGTATGTTACCCTGTCTGAAGAAAGCAAACTTGATGACCCACCCAGCCCTGTCTCCTCCTCTGCTTCATCCAATTAATGTAGTCTACATGCTTCATTAAAAAATTATTGAGGCCCCGTGTGCATTCAGCTGACTACAATAAAGGTAAGTGCACAGTAATACTTTATTCATTTTTCATTATTGATTACTTTTACTGTACTGTATTTCATTTTAGAATTTCTATGTATTATTTTCGCCTTTTCGACTTACGACCTGGTCGTCGGGGCGGAACCCCGTCGTAAGTAAAGGAAAGACTGTAGTAGGTCTTATATGAAGGTTGTTTAGATATCTGGATGGTCCATCACTAATCATGATCTTCAAGAATGAGATGCTTCTCCGTCTAGAGTATGTCAATTGATTGAAAATGTCCAAAGGAGGGCCACCAGACTGGTGCCTGCTCTACGGAATCACAGTTACCCAGAGAGATTAGAACGCCTGCAACTGCCTAGCTTTTACTATAGAAGGGTGAGGGGCGACCTAATCAAAGTCTTTAAACATCTCAGGGGTCACTACTTAGTCAAATGTACATATCAGGAGCTGGCAGATGTCCGCCCCATAAGGGGTCACAGCTCAAGGTTGAAGAAGCCACAAGTCCAGAAAACCGTGGGGGCAAATTTTTTATGAGTGAGAATTGTGAACTTTTGGAACAATCTGCCAGAAAATGTTGAGATGGCACCAAGTGTAAGCTCTTTCAAGACCAGACTTGACTAACACTTGAATAGGTTCCTATATATTCAGGAGCCAGTTCATGCCCAGTACTTGCCAACAATGCATAACAGAGACATGACCGACAGCCCAAGCGGCTAACGAGCCAATCAGTGGCAAAGGGAAGATAAAGGTAAAAAGTAAAAGTGAAGAAGTGGTGGTGTATAAGTACAGTAATAATAACATATTGTTTCACTCACCTAATTCGATAAACCCCGCATAGCTTCTTCTGATGGCTTCAATGAAAGAATGGTAGAGGGTGTAGAGTGGGGTACTGTGGGTTATTTTTGAGTTTTGTAAAAGATGTATTGCTGTCAAAAGCTGAGGACCTCCAAATGGTGCAGGAGCTGTATAGAGTGACCTATTATTTATGGACATATGGATGCATGGCCTTTCCCGAACCTGCAAAATAAAGAAAATATCTACATACTGTACACACACAAAAATACACTCGTTATTTTAAATAAAGACCTTTAAAATTCACATCTATCTGTTCAGTACTCTTATAAATTTTAATTACTGATGAGAACAGCCACATTTGACAGTGGCATTTAGTGAAAAAATGCTAGGGTAAGCAAATAGCACTGTTGATGACATTATACAATACTATTATTAAGCGCAACGAGTCACCCCATGCTCCAGTGGCGTCTCATCTCCCTCTGCATGTCTTACTCTCAAAACTTTCGTGTTTCACTGTGAAAATGGCCCAGAAAAGGCTGCCTAGTGTCAGTGGTAGTGATGCCAGTGGAGTGAAACATAAAAGGCAAAAGTCAGTGATGACTCTGGCAAAGAAAGTTGATTTATTAGACAAGTTAAAGGAGGGGATGAGTGCTGCTGCAGCTGCTCGGTTGTTTGGTGTAAACAAAGTCACATTGCGGTATATCAAGAAAAATGAACAAACAATTCGTGATACTGTTCAAGCGAGCGCTCCTGTAAGTGCTAAAGTGGCGCAGGTTGTTCATGACAAGAACATAGTGAAAACTGAGAAAGCTCTGAACATTTGGGGTGAGGACCAGCACTGCAAAATTGTTCCGATTGACAGCAACGTGATTCGTGAAAAGGCTAAAAGTTTTTATGCTCATTTTTACGAGTCAACAGGTGGTGAAGAGGCTAGTGCAGCAACTGAACCAACTTTTAGTGCCAATAAAGGATGGTTCAAAAATAAAAAAAATAAGATTCTCGCTCCATAATGTGAATCTGACTGGGGAGGCTGCACACAGTTACCCATTCCTTTTTGCTAAACTGCCCAAAAAACTGTCAAAAGTTTTTTTTTCCCTTTAAAGCCCGAGGTTTGCTGAGTGGTAAAGCAAGCAAGGCTTGATCATGTGGCCAGCCGCATTGCCACAGAAGATGAGCGTCACGATCAGTGGCGAAGAGGATAAAAGTAATCAGCTGACCACACAGCCGCATATGCATTTTCTGCCAAGCCAGAGAAAATTATAGAAAAGAAAGGCTATAGACCAGAGCAAGAGTTTAATGCCGATGAATCTGGTCTATATCAGAAGAAAATGCCTGGGAGAACATACATAAACAAGCAGGGGAGGCGTGCCCCTGGGTTCAAGGCATCCAAGGACAGAGTGATGCTCCTCTTTTGTGGCACTGTACAATGTGGCTGGTCACATGATCAAGCCTGGCTTGCTTTACCACACAGCAAACCCTAGGGCTTTAAAGGGAAAAAACTAAATCCTTTTGTCAGTTTTTTGTCAGTCTAACAAAAATGCATGGGTAACTGTGCAAGCATTCCTGGATTGGTTCCATAAATGCTTCGTCACGGAAGTGGAAAAATACCTGTCTTCCAAGAAGATGGAATTAAAGGTATTATTACTGATAGACAATGCACCAGGCCACCCAGAAAGTTTGTAGTTTAGCCATCCAGGTGTAGTGGTGGTGTTCCTACCCCTAACACCACTGCTCTTATTCAGCCTCTCGATCAGGGTGTAATACGCACCTTCAAGGCATATTACACCTGACACTCTTTTGGTAGTATCCGTCGTGCCATGGACGCAGACCCTGACCTTCATGTTAGCAAGTGTTGGAAGGAGTACAGCATTACCAATATCAGTGACACATTCAATAAACTCAAACCAGAGACAGTGAATGCTTGCTGGCACACCTTATGGCCTGAGTGTGTGAATAACTTTCAGGGATTTCTGTCCATAGTAAAGGATGTGAATAACATTGTGAGTGTTGCACGTCCGTTGAGTGGTAAGGGTTTGTGGACATGGCTGCTGAAAACGTGGAAGAGCTGGTTGATGGACATGGAGAAGAACTGACAGAAGAGGATTTGGAAGATTTGGTAAAAGCTTCGACAATTTTGGTAAACTATTTCTACAGGTAAGGATGGTAAATGATTTCATTGTTGACCACTACCCTTCCATGGAACACAGCCTTAAGATGGTCTGAGGAATCAACCAGGTATTGTTTCCCTTCCAGGATATGTTTAAAGACCTCAAAACAAAGGAGAAACAACTACCAATCACCAGTTTTTCAAGAAATAACCAGCTACTACCGCTGCCGCTCCACCCTCCTCCTCCCAGTAACACGCCTCTCCACCACCCACTTCCCCACCAACCGCCTCTCCACCAACCACCACTGATTCACCCTCTTCCAACAGTGATCCTGATGATCCACCTATGCTTCAGTATCCAGATGTCTCCCGGTGTACTATCGTGGACAAAAGTTCGCTCCCTGTAGTGAAACTGAGACACGGGAATGAGTCTCCGAACTGACTTACCCTGATTGTTATCTGGTGCGGGTGTGCTGTGCGGGTCGATACTGCTTCAATTTGGGAAGGAGCGAACTTTTGTCCACGATAGTACAGTGCATCACTTTATCAAGCTCCAGACTTCTACATATGAATGTAAGTATTGGTGACTTAAGTTTCTCATACACAGTATAGGTATACAGTAGAACCTCGATAAATCGGACTAATTGGGGCAGAACCCAGTCAGAAAAATGCGAAAATCTGAAAGAAAGGTGAATATATGGGGGGGGAAGAGATATCACTGCTTATCTGAACTGTTTAAGAAAATCAGTTGTCAATAATACTGCACTTCAACAACTAAAGTCTTTCAGTGTATAACGAGGTTATTAAAAGAATATTCCATCAACAATTAAAAAAACATGAAACAACTCTCTGGGTTGAAAATCAGACATGTAGGTCTGGTTGTCACCGAGATGATTGTTATTTACTGCAGTGTTATACAGGTTGTACCTCTCTAGTCCGGCAACCTCGGGACCTGACCGGTGCCGGACCATGGAAATTCACCCTTTTCCTGGATAGATAGTGACTTGTGCTTATGCTTGGAAGCACTAGCACCACTTTCTCTGCATCGTGGTCTCTTTGAAGACATATTGAAGGGCTAAATGTCGTATAGTAGCTTCTCAAATTTCGCGAGTTTTTAATTAAACGTATTTTATTGGAACACACACAAAAAAATAAATAAAAATTTTGAAGGTGGAAACTTGAATTTCGACGGGTTTGAACGGCCCGCCAACGTGCAGACGACGTGCATAATCATGTGAACAGCGTCATTTCTCTTATGTACAAAAGATTCATTATTGTTTATTACTGAATGTCTTTTTTATTGAATTAATGTTTATGTGTGCAAAATGAGCAAGACAATTAATTAATAATACGTAGAATATTAAAACACGAGGAAATAACACAGCATTGTTTTCGTTGATTACAAAACCAGTGACTGATTGGTTCTACATATAAAACTGAAGAAAATAAGACCCTGATTGTAGCTGTAGTAAAATAAATTAATATGGTTGTTTGAAGTACAGTGACCCCTCGTTTAACGAACACCTCGGTTAACGTAATTTCGATTAATGAACTGCCTTCCATAAGGATCTTCAATTCGGTTAACGAAAAAAATTTCGCTTAATGAAGTTCTTACGAACCGACCTCAACATGTTTTCGCTTGCACTGACCGGGCAACCAGCTTTAGTATCAGTCCGCCAATACATTAATCGGCTCTAGGGCTTAAATTCCTTACTATTTTAGTAAATATCAAAAAGTTTATACTATTCAATAATTTTAAAAGTTTAATATTCAATTTTTTAGTCATTTTAACAATTATTGAACAAAATTGAAGGTAAAGTGACTAGTTTAATGCGCGGCATCCAGCCTCTTAACACAGCAAACAGGTGTTAGTCTCTCTCTGTTTTCACTGGAGGTAACATCTTGCTTGAGACTCTCTTCAACTAAACGCTTTTTTTCTGTGTTTCCAAGCAAATTATTGGTCATTTTGAAAATTATTTTACATATTGACAATATATAGTGAAGTGCAGTGTTATTTTAAAGAAAATATTCTTTATTTACAGCTAGTTTAACTTTGAAAAATACGTGTTGCCATTGTTTGAATCCAGCATGGGGCCTAAGAGATCAAGAAAAGCAATTTCAATCCAAATAAAGCAGGAAATAATAAAAAAACACGAACAAGGCATTAAATCAAATGCACTATGCAAAGAATATGGCATGTCGGCATCAACTGTGTCGACAATTCTTGCACAAAAAGACAAATTTAAGGAAGTGAACGTGAGAGACAAATCTACAAGAGTGTTTAAAAGTAGATCCCTAATCGTAGAAACTGAGAGGTTACTTATCATCTGGATTAGGGAAAAACAGATGAAGGGGCAGCAAAGTTTTTAATTGAATTTAAAAAACTGATGGAAGAAGAAAATTATCTTCCACAGCAAGTGTTCAATGTTGACGAAACTGGGCTGTTCTGGAAAAAGATGCCCAAAAGAACATTCATCACCAAGGATGAAGCCTCTTTACCTGGGCATAAACCCATGAAAGACCGTCTCACTCTATTGCTTGGTGCCAATGCTTCAGGGGATTTCCGACTGAAGCCTATGCTTGTCTACCACTCTGAAAACCCCAGGGTGTTCAAGCAACAGAAAGTGGTAAGAACAATGCTTGGAGTTTATAGGAAGTCCAACCGTAAGGCATGGGTGACAAGACAGTTCTTTAATGAATGGGCTGTTGATGTGTTTTGCCCCTGTCAAGAGCTACCTAACCACCAATAAACTTCCTTTAAAAGCTCTTCTCCTCATGGATAATGCTATTGGTCATGACCCTGACCTTGCCAGCAATTTGGAGTATCAATTTGACTTTGTGAAAGGTGTTGTTTTTGCCTCCAAACACTACATCACTCATACAGCCAATGGACCAGAATGTAATCAGCAACTTCAAGAAGTTGTACATGAAGAAAATGTTTAGGAGGTGTCATCAGGCAACTTCCGCTGATCCTGAACTAACACTGAAACAGTTCTGGAAGACACAATTCAACGTCCTGGAGGCTGTAAAATTGATTGTGTCATCATGACAAGAAGTCTCCAATAGAACCCTCAATTCTTCATGGAAAGCACTGTGGCCATCAGTAGTCCATGAT